GGGGGGCATGAGTGCAATGCAGGCTGTAGGTTTTGCGTGCGCTCACGACACCTCGCCGCTTTGTACGGGCGTCTAAGTTTCGACCGCTGACCACGCCTATGGCTCTAAGCGTGCTCTCGCGCCGCTCATGGGCGTCCGAGTGCAAGTGCGACCTCTGACAACACTTAAAATCTCAAAAGCCTTCTTTTTCATTGGAGGATGTGTTTTTGTGCACATCTTCACCGGATGCAAAGTTGTATTGAATCTAGCAAGGTATGGATGATAAGCATCTATTTATGGCCTATTCGTCACTTGCAGGATTTGGAATTGCATCCTGTTTGGATATGCACAAAATGGAACACAAAAAGTCCTTTTAGATTTAGTGTGCACACCGGCTGTAGTCACAAGCCTTACACACAGAATAAAACACTCTGCCTGTGGGTGACATCCTGCCGCTGCTTTACGGCCGAATGTAGGACTCCTTTTCGAAATGGGGGCGCGCGACTGCCCAGATTGCAGTTCGGATTGCATTTCGCCGCCCCCGCCCTCGCTCCCTCGCCACGCTCCAACCGTGTTCGAGGCGGTCGCCCACACGCTGGCCAGTCCGGTCCAGGTGCCAAAAACGGAGCCATCGCCACGACCGCCTGGATTCTCCTGAGCCAAAAGTAGGGCACTCGGGCACCCGGCTCCCGAGTGGGAGCGGTCCCATACAAATTATTTTCGCCTTATTCGATTTAAGTGAGGTTTGAAAGATCATCAATTTTCTGACAACAGTGGACTATAGGGGGTCTTGCAATTTCAGAATATTTTTTACAGTGTGTCAAACGTAAATTTAGTAATTCTGTGTTGGTGCAATTATTATGAAGAAAAAAAACAATCCCACCAGCATCGGAAATGAAAGCACATGATCCATTCAAAGTTGCATAAGGGGCGTTCCCAAATTCGGAATATTTTGTTTTTAGCAAATGTCGAAAGTTATCGCTACCGCGCGAGGTGAAAGCACACACTCTAAACGTTTCACTAGAAAATTTGCATGTGTATGTAGTAACTAATAAAGTTTTATGCTATTTCATGTTAGTAAGAATTGTTTAGTAGTGCTCAACTTTTTTCTGGTAGTACTGAATCAGGGGGTCGCAACGCAGTGCTGAGAGCGCGGCCTATGCGCGAGCCCCGGAAGTCGCCGCCCGGACGGCGCGAACCAGCCGTTCAAACCACCGCTCAGTTTGAAATTGTTGGATAAGTATTGAAACATATTTTG